CCCCCCCCCCCCCCGGTGCGGGTTATCCAAGGACAGACTTACTAACGTCCACTCATGCCATAAAAAATGTCACACTCCAAATGGATTATCATTTCATCCACCATCTTTCCATAGCACTTCCCAACAACATCATTATCTGTTAAATTTAAGAATAATTACTCTATTATAGAGCAAGCAGCGCCAATATTCAACTAGGTTGTCATAGAAAAATTATTTTGTATAGAAGAAGCAACATGTATATAGACATACCACCAAAAAAACAGCACATAACTAGGATTCCTTAGAACCTGCAGTAGTTTTCCAACAGCCAGTAGCATCTCTTGTCAATAAGTTTATCAGTTTATCAGTTTATTACAAAGTGTTCATCTTAAGCAAGAAATAATGATTACAATGATGAAGTAACAATGAGGACAACATCATAGTGATAACGCCTGCCATTAGGCTGTTAGAGAAATATAAAATGAAGCAACAGCAAATATTTCACCTGACACAGTATTGAATCAGCCAGAGGGCGCATACCATTAACACTTATATATCTTGGAGTCGAAGAAGGAAATGAAACAAACCGACCACCAGCTTCAAGCTGTCCTATTGTTCCCTGCCACTGTCGTACCAGGCCTTTATTGGACCATCCATCAACCAGCTCAGCAAACTGAGAATCACTTATGGTAAAGAATTGCACCGCATGGTCAAATATCAGAGGCTGAGGATCAATTATTCTAGTTCCCATTCTTCCTCCCAACCCATGAAGTCCCTAAAGTAGCCAAGCATAGTGACATATGTTAGAAAATATGGAAATTAGAATGATGGGTGTTCTTATAATTTTTAGATATTCTTGAAACTATAAATATTGAGGATTGTGGGAATGAGAATTATTCCATGCTTTTCAAAATTCTTCTCTTTCCCTCTTTCCCTCTTTCTAGTTTATGTACTTTCTCTTTCACAAACCCTAAAACTACAACTTTGATAAGTCAACTGGGTAGCAAAGCAAAGTGACAATTAAGGTCTAGTATTAACAAAAAACATAGAGGAAAACCTTGGAAGTAAAAAAGGGATCCCGTTGGGCTGCTAACATCAGCCCTTGAAGGTTTGGAACCCCATCACCATGTTCAAATTCACATGATGAGTTCAATGGTGATTTTTTCAGATTTTTTTGTAATTGTTCGATGGGTATTCGATTTTTCGAAAGATTTTCTGAAAAATACATGCAATTTTCTCAATCCACAATTTCTGGTATTTGTTTCTGTTTTCATTGCTCCTAATCTAAACAAAAATCTCTGAATAGACCCCTGGGGAAGATGATTTTCTGGAGCCCATGACCAATCAAGTTGATTTGTTGATGCTTTTTGGTCTCCTCACTTGGACCATTTGGGGATGCTTCAAGTCTTGTGATCTTCAGCAACTGTATTAGGATTGTTTTTTTGGCTTTTGTTGTGGGTTGCTTTTGTAGGGACTATTGTTGCTGTGTAAGTCTCTATAGATTGATTCAGATCTATTGTGGTAAGGCCTGAGATTAGTCAAAGTTCCTGTAGCTCCAGTAGTCGTGTAATTGGTCATTTTGACACCCAAAATGGGAACTCTACACTACAAATTACAATGGCTAAGCTTGATGGAACTAATTTTCTTGCCTAGTCTCGTACTGCACTATTGTTGATTAAGAGCAAAAGAAAGATGGATTACCTTAATGGAACTGTTGTTGGACTCAAAAGTGAAGATGCGCTCTTTCCTAAATGGTATGTGGAGAATCTTCTTCATCCCATGCAACCCGAGATTAGTAATGGTAATTTATTCTTGAGGACAACAACAAATATATGAGATGTTGTTACTCAAACTTATTCTTAGAAAGATAAGAGCATCTCCAGCCCTTGTCTTTTTAGATACAAATTTAAATTTGGATAAAAATAGCCCAAAAACCTTTTCCAATACTATACCCACACCCATACCATATCAAGAGAGATTTAAATTTTTACTCAAATTAAGGGAAACTCAAAACCTTTACTCAAATTACTAATGGTGAAATTTCATTCTCCTTTATAGATCAAATGGTCATATTCCATCCACCATTAAATTTGACTTTGTCTTCCTTTAAATTTGACTTTGTCCATTGGATTATTTTATATCAAATCATGCTTTTTACTCAAATATTGAATCAAATTTGAGTAAAATTTTGAGTCGATGTTTGAGATATTCAAATGTTGCTCATATTTATGACCTTAAACACAGAATTCATGACCAGTGGTGAACGAAAAAAATTCACTTCCCGTCATTTTTCGGTTCAAATTTTGAGCAAGGTCCTTAATGGGTGCACGGTAGACACGCAACGTCTCTAGGAGTTATTTACCCCTGATCCATTTCACTAGAAGAGGTTCCGAGCACATTCGTTTCACTTCGATCCATACCCATATCGATTCGATAAATTTCGTCATTATTTGATCGATCTTCCACTTGAGAATGTTTTAAGAAATAAATCATCTTACCTATTGGATTTAGAAAATTAAACCATGGTCCAATTTTAAAACCATAACAGGTTGGGGATACAACCATGGTTATCGCTTAAGCACGTTGGTTGAAATGTATTCGGTCCCACTATCTTTCTTAAACAGTTTTGTGTTATGTTATATATATATCAGCCATTAAACTTCAAAGGAAGAAAGTTATATCCTTTTGATTTGGGTTTTTAACTGATTCTTTACTAAGAAGTTGACAAGTTTCATATTCTTTGGTTAAGACATAAACCTGTTCAAGTTTTTACTTGAAGGTTGGTCTTGAAGACTGTTGGTAGCCAACTTGTTTTGTAAATCTCCTTTACTGGTATTTTGGGAATATTTCAATTATTCCAATTTCTTCAATCAAACCAACCCAATCAACCTAAAGTAACAAACCAACTGAGTACATTCCCAAGTCTATAGCACAAAACCTGTTCACCATGGAACCAAATCATGCCTATTTAACCGACCCAATTGATTTGGCCAATGCCTACCTTAAACTAGGATGGAATTTCATTCCACTAGATCCAATAAAAACTTTCCAGTTCTACCAAGACATCTTGTTTTACACATAATCAATCTTCATCAAATCTATTAATGATAGAAAAGATACTAGAAAAATAGTTTATCATTCTCTTTACATTCTCAAGTTTCTCTTATTAAAAATTTTCCGGGCCAGACCAACCAATTTAGTTATTATGACTGCATTGAGTCATGGTTCAAATTGCTTTTCTATTAGAATGAGTCATACACTCACTCGTGGTTCATCCAGTTCACAAAAAATTTCAAGTGTCAAATTCGTTCATAGTTTTTGCGGTCGTGACAACAACATGGCCCCATGCTCAAATTCTTCTTTCTGATCTCCAAGATCAAGTTACCTATTTCTCCTCTACTTTCAAAGTTAGCCAGCATGATTCACAGTTCCGTGTAATGCTCCTATTTATGAGTAAATACAAGGTTCTATGGATCCTCAAATGGCAGTTCTCTATTTCTGCTAACACAGTTATCTGTCAATTCTAAGTCAAATGGTGGGCTAAGTTTGAACACCAACGCATCATTGACCAAGTTAAAACGGAATTTCCAATTAGAGTTCCCACTCTAATTACAGGTATAGTCACCGGTAAACCTACTGTTCTACTCATGGTTAAACGAGAGTAGCTCCAGTTCTCAGAATTCCTACTCCAGTCCATCCGGCACAACCACTAATAGTAAAACAATTCACAGTTTCTTCCAAGACTTCCAATAAGTCTCAGAAAATGAAATCTCAGTTAATTGAGCTAGTCAAACAGCTACTCAAAGTGGGTCAAGATGATGATGCTTATTCCCACTCATCTAAAGCCTATATCAATCACCCCCAAGATCCATTCTAGGATGTCTAGGACCTAAATGATGCCTATGATCTATCTAGTCCGTAATTCATCTAGTATATGATTCAGGTCCTACATCCATGTGAATAAAGAACTTCAATCAATACTTTCTGCCTCGAAAGAAAGAAAAGATGTCTCTTTATGAATCATAACAGACGGAATCATTCAATCAAGTCTCATTTCCACCGAAAGATAAGAATGAAAATCATTTCACTAAAGTAAATCAGCAAAAATAAATGTAGCCAACCAACTTTCTAGCAAAATCAGAGTTCACCTGAGTAAAAGCAGTTTACTCTAATAAATCCCACCGAAAGGCGAGGGTCAAAACCATTTCACTAAAGTAAATCAAAAAAGGCAACTACCGAGTCAAAAGAGAAATCATTCAATAAATTCTCTTGAAAAATCCTTACACCTATATAAGGACTTCAATCATTTGTAACAAAGAGAAGAAAAACGGAGGCCACAATAGCCATCACTAAAACACCGCTCTATTCCCCCCTTGTAAACATTTCTTCATATGATGCAAATGAAGAATATCCCCGAGTTATATATTTGTAAGTTAATTTTCAGTTAACTGTATTTTGCATACTTACAAGTAAAGATCAAGTTTATATTATTATTGTTTATTATTGATATTGTTTATAGTAGTACAATATTATTGGTATTGTTTATAGTAGTACAATGTTATTGGTGTTGTTTATAGCAGTACAATATTATTGGTATCAATTATCAATACCAATAATATTGATCATAGTAGTACAATGTTATTGGTATCGTTTATAGTAGTAAAATATTATTGGTATCAATTATCAATACCAATAATATTGATTAATTATCAATACCAATAATATTGTACTACTATAAACTAAAAGGATAAAAAAGGGGGAGGATCGATTTGTGCACAAAATATCAGCGAAAGCTTTTATTTAACGTAAATTTATGTACAAAACACACTTACAGTAGTAGTGGTGGAAGGTAGAAAATGGAGGTTTATACAAGAGAGAATGGTTCAAAGATGGTGCAAGAGAAAGGGGAAGAATGTAGGAGTAGGGAGAGAAATGGGTACGAGATGTGGTGCTCCACAGGTTGGACCTGCATCTCCTTTTATAATAGCCAGACTTGAAATTCGGATTTCAAACTATCATATACTATTCACAACTTTATACTATTCACAATATTAATAATTTACATTGACGTCATTGTTTACGTCAATAATACTATATACCTTTTATTGTACAAGTATAATAATTTTATGGTGACGTCATCGCGTTCATCACCCTTTTAGAGTTGGCTTTATCTGAGACTTCAGCTTTATCTGCTCATTTCTTGTAAAGCAAATTATACAGCATATTACATTATTACCGCTGTCATCATAGAGGTTTATCTCTATATCATCATTTAGTAAATCTTCATTAATAGAGATGTCACCTTTAAAGGGGGTATATCCCTAAAAATGCATAAATTCATCATCAGAGTCAATAGGAGTAAGGGATTTCCTATCATTCTCCTTGACTTTATCTTTCCCTTTGCCTTATATGGCAACAGTAGGAGTGTTAGCGAGGTCCATCTTCTCGGTTTTGCCCATTCCGAATATAGACATCACCTGAAAACGTCACTCCTCCATAACTGTTGTTTTAAGCTGCTCAGTATTTAAATATGATTTTTCTTTTTTAATGTGTTCCTTAAGAACTTCAACAGGATTAAAATTAGTTCCAGTATTTATACTGGTAGTGGGAACAATGGCTGTAGAAGTTAAAGTTTTATCTTCCTCTTTATCTACGTCTTTAAGTCATTCCGCTATAACTTGGCATTTAAATTCAAACGGATAATTATTCCAAAAACGAACATGATATTCCTTGATTATGCTGGAATACTCGTTTTGATTAAAATCACAAGCCAAA